GGAGTGTATCCTTGTGAGAGATGGTACTGATAGGGGAAAGGATAGGAGAAAGGAGTTCAAGATCTGTATGCTAGCCGCTGACTCTTCCTCCTTTTGCTACCCTTGAGAGAGACATCCTGACCATCCTGCTAGCCTGTCTGTGGGTAACACAGCAGCAGACGAACTGTGGCTTTGGGACTTCCATGTTGTAAAGTGGGACAGCTGGACTCTGCCTGTAGCAGACCCGTCTGTCATGGCTGTTGCTGTCCAAAACTCTTTTGGATGAGGACTGAGGCTGCCAAAGACCAAGTATGGTAGAAGAGATGTTGAACCTCGAGCAGTAAGAGGTGGGATCCTACAGAATAGGAAATGCCAAGTGCCAGTTTTACAAATCTAGTTGGGCAGATGAACTGGGAAGGGGGGAGTGATTTCCAGTGCTCTCTCCTCATCTCTCCCCTGTCACATTTCCCCCTTGCTATAATCTGCGACCCACAGTTAGGATACTGGATTACTATGCTATGCTATGCTATGCTGTACTATACTATACTATACTATACTATACTATACTATACTATTCTCTACCCCCCTCATTCCTACTCCACCCCCCCCATAGTTTTTTACTCCTTTCCATGAGCACTAGAGTGGGTGGTTTGGGTATTTCCCCCACAGCTCAGAAGATCTGGGCTGGCAAGTGGAAAAAGGTTTACAAGATGGATAAAGGTGGCTAGCATAAATCATGTGATCACAGTGTAAGGGTGGGACTGGTTAATTTATTCAGCCCCTTCCCATTTAACCTAAGTGATAAGATGTGAAGTCCGTCTCACTGGTTGGTCTTGGACTGAATAGGAAGTCCCTCATTCTGGATTGATATTGCACAAGGCTCATGTTCTAATAGGATGAAGAAACTTGGCCACTTCCCAGGGGTTGTCTACATATAAGGCAACTTGGGGGCACAGTGGACAGGGTCAGGCTAGGAGTCAGGAAGACATGAGTTTGATTATTGACTCAGACACTCACTAGCTAAGTGTTACTTGTCTTCTTCCAGACTTGATTTCCTTATCTGTGAAATGAGAATGGTAATAGCAACTACAGGTTGCCTATAAGGATCAAACATATGATGCTTTGCAGATCTTAAAAGCACTACATTGGAGGGTTGGAATACTTGTGGGGACCGCAGGGAGATCTTGGATTTGTGTATTGGCACTGGAAGAGCCCCGAGGGGCCTCGGCCTCAACGCTTCTCCGGAGCCATGGGTCAGGCAGGGGGCCCAGGAGTTAGCAGTTCAGTGCTGAAGGCCGGGTGTCGGGGTTGGGGTGGGCGAGTGCGGACTTCCTTCTAGCCGGGGTTGGGTGGAGCAGAATAGCACGCCGCAGCGCTGGTCGGTGCTCGCGAACCCCCTGCCTAGCCCAAGAAAGGCTGGTAGGTGTCTGCAGGGGGTCCCTTGGAAAGAGGCCGGATGGCCTGGTTTCTGAAGCTGCAGCTGGCCCACGGGGCGATCGAGTCCGGGCTGGTGCCGGACTTTGACGCGAGTCTGTCCGGGATCGGCTAGGAACTGTGATGTCCTTGTGATGGGGTACGGGCCCTGGGAAACCCCGAACTCTCCTTGAGTTTTCTCCTTTTGCCGCATGGTCAAGTGTCTGGCGTTCGCCTGAGGCATCGACCCATCCCAACTGACCTTTCACTGTGACCATGCCCAGTCTCCCAATTCTGTTACCTCTAACCTAGCCCAGCTCTTCATTTTCTCCACCCTCCACCCTATCTAGACTCCGTTCTCCCTTGGCCATGTGATCCAGGTCCCTGGCTGTTCTCTGTTACCTACCAGTCACCCAAGCTATTGGCCACTCCTTGATCACTGTTTATAAGGTCCATCTTGCCTGCATTCAAGTGTTCAGATTCTTAAAATCTAGCCAATAGGGCAGACTTATTAGAAATCTAGCTCACCTCAGCTGGTGTTCTAATAAACCTTGTCTTTAGTTGAAAGAAGGCTTGGATCAAATTCATCCCAGGCAGGACCTGCACCACTATTTCGGGGTCCCAGCACCTCTAAACCTCAAAACTTACATTGTCCATTTTTAAACAAGAAGAGTCAAGTTTGCCACCTGATAATGAGAATAAAATCCTACCTTTCCAGTGTGTGCTTTGTGCTGCTACCTCTCCTGCATTAAAACTCCATGATGAAACACTCACAATATCTTCATCAAGGACAATCTGATGAAATTCCAATGCTGGAAAACAGGAAACTTTGAGTGGCAAGCTAGTGAAGAGAATGTGGAGTGGTGTTCCATGTTAGACACCTGCAGCGCGCTGAGCACCAGCATTTTGAGGTCTGGAGGTGGAATAAGCCAGGGGACAGAATCCTTGCCATAGATATTTCAGTGTTTACAGGTATAATTGACTCGAGGGCAAATCCAACACCACTGAATCCTGTGGAATTCCTCTGGGACCCTGCAAAGAGTTTGTTCAGGTGTTGTACCAGTACAGAGTTCATCATGAGAGAACATGGTGGAGAAAAGGTGGGCCATTCCCAGTTCAAACTGACACCTTCAGGGAGAATGAGAATGGAAAATACACTGAACATTTGCTTTCAGCCAGCTGTCAGATCAAGGTTTTCAATCCCAAAGATGCAACAGGAAGCAAAAAAACAGACAGGGAGAAAATGGAGGAGTGAACCCCTCATGAAAAGGAAAAATACCAACCTCCCTATGAGACACGGAATACTCAGGAAGTGTTCTCTGTGACCTGAGATGACATATGTCAGTAATTCCCCTCCCCTGGCTTTAAGGATTACCATAGCACTTTTTCAGTTGGAGAAGGGAATGGTTCACCAAGCCACCAGCCAGAACCACCTCCTCCAATTGCAGATAAACTTCTACCAATAACTAGCCCTCAGTAAGCTCGACAGTGGTTACATCTCCACCTTCTCATGGCTTTTCCCAAACTGCTCAGGTGCAGATTTACTGAAGTTAACCAGAAATAACATTCAAATTTGTGGCCCTGCTGATGGAATTTGACTCCTTAATGTCTTAAAAGAGCAGATGGGGCTGACGATTCATGTTGGCCAGGAATCCTTGCAACAGCAGAGCAGCAACAGCAACAGAAATATAAGAATGGAGAATGCGATGGTGCTTTCTTTGTGTACCATGGCGTCTATGTGGAAGAACTAACATCTATTCAGTATTTCCCCTCATCAGATCTATAAGCAGGGGCCAACAGGAATCCACGCGCTCATCAGTGTTAAGATGATTTTTGTTTTGTTCTGGACACAACAGAAGCTGAAATCAATGGAAGCTACCACATCATATTGAAATAGAAGGGGACTATCTCATGCTGGGGAGCTGCTGCTTCCTTCACCCCTTGGACACCCCCTCTTGCAGATATGGATAGAGAGTTGGAGGTCTGCAGGAGCCTGAGTGATGGAGAGTGGGAGGTAGGGTGGTAATATACTCCGGAGGTGGGATCTCAGATCTCTGGTCCTTGTCCCAACTCTCTTGCCACACACAGATTCCTGTCTGGTATGTGGTTCTGCAGCTATTTCTTAGTTACAATTTCTGGACTTTGTGGTTGTTGAATATTGATAGAAACTTGTCATATCATTTAGGTTTTATGTAGGGCATAATGATGATGGGAATTGTGTGATGTTTAATTGAAAGATGTTACATTTTAGGATAATCTGGAGCCATATAATTTTCCCCCTTAATATATAAATAAAAATGAATCTCTATATTTTTTAGACTATCCACCAGCCAACTCCCTGATGACATACCTGTGGTCTCTGCTTTCCCTGCAATGTATTTGTTCCTGGAAAGCCTAATGGTGGGGGAATTTTTTCCCCCATGCGCTGTATATCCTGCCATTACCCTGGACACCACACGGTGATCCTGCATTGCTGTGGTGAAATGTGAGTTTACATGGAGGACTGAGCAAACAACTGCCCAAAGTGACCCATTAGTAGGGTCAGAGATATGAAAAACAAAATATAAGTGCTCGCTCATTCTTTTTTCTTTTTTGGGGGGGGCACTATTACACAATAAAGTTGACAGTATTTGAGCACTGCTTGTACTTCGCAAAGTTAATTTTTCCCAGTGAAGTTCTCAGACCTTTCTTTTGATATACTGAACTTTTTTCTCTTTCTACTTTGTGCCTTCATTCCTAGTGTAAGAGGCATTTTTGTTTATGTAGTGTTCTTGACTGGATAATTTTTTTTCTCAAGGCAGAGTTAAGTGACTTGTCCAAGGTCACACAGCTAGTAAATGTCAAGTGTCTGAGGTCATATTTGAACTCAGGTTCTCTTGACTCCAGGGCCCGTGCTCTGCACTGTGCTGCTTAGCTGCCCTGACTGTGTACTTTTTTAAAAGAGTCTTTCCCTTGTGAATAGAAGGAACCCTAGGCTAGGAGTCAAGGCCTGGGTTCTAATCCTTAGCTCTGAATTAATTCACTGGGTGATACTGGGCAATAAGTCCTTTTGGGCCTTTCTTTCCTCATCTATGAAGTAAAGAATGTGAATAAGGTGATCTCCAAGGTCCTTTTTAGCTCTCAAATCTAGAATTCTATTATCCTATTTGTATTTACAGGCTTCCCATATATATTTTGTTCTACTTAAAAAAATGATTGTGTCTGTGACTATGGTATTCCCTTCTTGTTTTACATATATATTGTCAAGAATTCCCTTTACAGATTGAGTTAGGGCTGAAGAGGACAATGTTCAAAGATTCTATATGGGTTTGGTCTTTTATTTTGTTAAGCATTTGATTTATCATAGCTTAATTGGTTTTTATACAGAGGAAATTTTTGTCCATTCAATGTAGTCTAATTCCTTTTGGGAATTTTGGTTGAAAACATTGAAAATCTTCAAGGTAGAAGATTAAAAATGGTTTCTTGGGTAAAAATAAAACAAAACAAAACAAAAAAAAAACATATAAAATGTTACTTATACAGGATGTCCCAAAAGTCTTAGTGTAGTTTTAAACTATTAAAGCTTAATTTCAGTATACATCTATGTATGTATGTATGTATGTATGTATGTATGTATCTATCTATCTATCTATCTCTATCTATCATAAATATAAACATAGGTAAATGTCACAGTGTGATAAAAACAGTTTGGAGTTAACTTTCTTCATCTAATAGAATTACAATCACTTAAGCTTTCAGGAACACCCCTGGAGAATTATTTCCCTCAAATGACTCAATTTCTTTTTGACCCAAGCTATATACACCTAATCAGTTGTCATTGAGCCTTTGCTTGAAGGCTTCCAGTGAGGGGGAACCCTGGCCCCCTCTTTGGACTCCCCAACACTTGCTGTTATGTGATACCCCAGTTGCAACTTCCTTGCCCCAACTAAAGATCATAATTTTTGCTACGTTGGCTGCCTTCTCTTTAATTCAGGTTGACAGACTATGGATTTAATATTTAATATTTTGAGTTATATTCCATTTCATTCCCTAGATAAAATTACAGCCCAGTTTGAAGATGTGGATATAGTTGTAACTGAAGATAGGAGGAATGGGAATTAACCTTTTAGAAAAGCTATCCTGTGCACATACCAAAGAGGTTCTGAAGAAATCACTGGGCTGCTGGCTCAAGTAAGAGCACAATGGTGGGCAAATGAGGTATAGCACTCCATTGCTGGATAATCAGTACAGTGACATGCTTCCTTTCTATAGACTTAAGACAAACAGTAGATTGCTTGATTTTTGACTGCTTAGAATGCCACACGTGTCATAGGTGTCATACTATGATTCAAGGTATTTGAAGGATTGACACATGAAAGATGGTTAAACTTGTTCTGCTTGGACCAAGAAGGTAGAATTAGGAGAAATGGATGGGACTTATAGAGAAATTGGCAATAAGGAAAAACTACCTCATAATTAGATCTACCCAAAAGAAGAATGGGTTGCTTTGAGAGGCATTGGGTTCCCCCTTACTGGAAGTCTTGAAGCAAAGACTGGATGACCACTTTGGGAGACACTGTAGGGGAGATTCTTGTTCAGGGGGGCTGGAGTCGATGGCCTTTTGAGGTCCCTGCAACTCAGAGATTCTCTGAACTAAGATGTGTTTCCAACAAAGGCAGTAGTAATTCAATTTGATTATTGGTGTCATAGAACCGTGGATTTAGAGACTAAAGGAACCTTTCAGTCCAACTCCTAATTTTACAAAATTTACAGAAGAAATTGAGGCTCAGGATCCACTGATTTTCCGTCACAGGGCTGAGTCTGGGAGCAATTTGAAATTGGCAGAAGCACCTGCAAGAGGTGTGCCAGATTAATTGAACAACAAATCTTTACTGAGTATCTATTATGTTATCTAAATCAGAGCTAGGTTTTGTGGGAGGTACAGGAACAGAAGCATAAGATGAAATCCTTGCTTTCCTGGAGCTGACAATCTCTCTGGGCAACACTATGAAACAATTAGAAAACAAAACATTTAGACTGTAATTTCCTGGAAAACAGGAACTGTCATATTTAATTTTGTATCTTGATCAGCACTTAGCCCAGAGCCCTATGTACAGAAGGCAGCCAATAAATGTTTTATTCAATAAATGAATGGGTTCCTGGATTACTGGGGTACACTCGGACCTCAGTTTCCTGCTCTGTAAGAAAAGTGGGCTGGACTAGATCTCCTGTGGTCCCTTCCAGCTCTAAGTTATGATCATTCCTCATTTTACAGATGAGAAAAGCAAAGTCGTTGTGAGAAAAGCACGTTGGAAATGATTATTATATTATTATTACTATTATTATTATGAATGAGTTACTGTTACTACAATTATGAAGAGGCAGTGAGTCAAAATGCAAACTCAGAGTGTGCCTCTGGCACATGCTTACTGGTAAGGCTGTGCTACCCTGGGCAATTCATTTAACCTCTCCCTGCCTCGGGCTTCTCTGGAGACTGAAAGCTAGAGTGCATGTGCTGATCAGCACTGGCTGAGAGATTTTCCTTGACAGATTCCCCAAACCAAAGAAATCACGCGCCCAGCAAGGAAATATCAAAAATGCCAGAGAAAGGAAGGAAGGTGCCCAGGTTCCTTAGTCAGTTGCAGAGGTGAGACTAGCACCCTAGGCTCCTGACCCCTAAGCTAGCCTGCCCGCCCTGCATTTAATTGTAATCTTGAACAGGTAACCTTTAGTTCTTTTCTGCTGCTCCTTTCCTGAGAACTCGTCGGCATCTGATGCTGCGTGTGCGGATTCAGCGTTAACTCTTAAGTCAGGGGAGATCTGCCTTGGGAAGGGGAGGAGTGTCTTTTGATTCCTGGGTGATGATTCCTCAGCGGTACTCAGTCACAGTACGTAGTACACAGTACACAGCCACAGAGCACTGGAAACAGCTGGGGACTTCCCGGACCCCACCTCCACTTAATGAGGGGGATCTATTTCGATGCAATCTGTAGAAACTTTCGGTTGGTCAGAGAGGGATGGGTTAGCAGCTCCGCCTGAGTGCTCTGTGCATCGCTATGACGGGGCCCTGGGGAGATGCAGGGGAGACGAGCAAAATACAGGGAAGTTGGGCCGACTGGTTCTCCAGGCTTTCGGAAGTTCCTGGACGTCTTCGCTCAGCTTCACTTCTCCCCTTCCCCAGCCATAGCACCAGAACCGCGGGGCGGGTGGGCCCTTAGTTAGGATCTTGCTGGCGGCACCTGTGCTCTTCTCGGGGCGGAGTCCCAAGTCCCGCCAGTGCCTGGGGGTAGCTTCTCAGGAACCGTGGGGGCAGCGCACGCACCGCTCCCCTCGGGCTTGGTCAGAGGCAGGCTGGCGCGGACCGTGGCCGGGACAAAGAACGGCACCCTAACCAACGAGCTCAGTGCCATGTCGCTGTGCTGCGCTCGGTGGCGGCCGGCGCCCAGCGGCCCGGGCAGGAGGCGGTGCGCCCTAGCGGCAGTGCTGTTAGCGTTGTCAGCTCTGCTGTGGCTGGGTGTCGCGCCACCGGGGCTCGCTCGCCTGCCCCAGGGACCCCGCCGGCCGGCTGGTACCAACGCATCCGTGCGCCTTGATCCCGGTCCGGAGCTGGAGGGTGGCGACGATGGAGAGGCCATGAGGACCGTGTGGTGTGCCTCATCGCAGCCCCAGGTCCTTCCTCGGCTGCCCAAAGAGGCACGCTTTCGCGCCTTCCTTCGCCACAGCCACTGTCGCTATTTCCCTCTGCTCAGAGACCACCCGGACAAGTGCGGAGGTCGGGTGCGGCTGCTGCTGGCCGTCAAGTCGGCACCCGAGCACGGCGAGCGGCGAGAGGCTGTGAGGCGCACGTGGGGCCGAGAACTGACGGGGCCCGGCTCCGGCTCCGCCTCGGACGCCGCAGCCGTGCGCACCGTGTTCTTGCTGGGTAGAGGAGCGGCCGAAGAGGGGCCCAGCGGGGAGGCGCTTCGCCAGCGGCTGGAGCAGGAGGACCGGGCGCACGGGGATCTGCTGCGCTGGGACTTCAGTGACACCTTTTATAACCTCACGCTGAAGGCTGTCAATTTCCTGCGCTGGTTCCAGCGCCGCTGCCCCAGCGTGGAATTCGTGTTCCAGGTAAGCGGAGCGACGGAGGGGTCCCCGCAGCGGCAGGCAGAAGCTGGGCACCTGCCGTCTGCCTGGTCTGTTCCCAGTCCGTCCGTTATCTCTACCGGACTGAGAGCCAGGACGAGGGAGTGTCTCTTCTCAGGGAGGGCCCTGGGTTGGATTGGCAAAGGGCTGGGGGAATTGGGGGTGAAGGGGGACGGACAGGTAGACGGGGCACTAAAGATTAGAGTCATATTAGCCTAGAGCAAGAATGGATCGTGGCGGATCATCTCGTCCAACCTCCTCGTTTTTACAGAGGGGAAAATTGAAGACTGGACGGACTTGTTCGAGGTCCCATGGCAAGATAGTGACAGAGCCAGTACTGGGACTCAGGAGGGTGAAGCGTGGGGAGGAAGGGTTGGAAGATCGAAGAGGTGAGAAGGGATCAGGACTTGGGGAGGTGCGTGTCTGATCTGAGAGCTGGTGGAGTGAGAGAAATAGCATGGAATACAGGGCAGGAAACTGGGGGATAACTGTCACAATTTACAGAACACTTTGTGGATAATAGCAGGGCATAATGGGAAGAGAGGGACTGGGTAACTAAGTGAGAGAGTGCTGGACTTGGAGTCACGAAGACGAGTTCAAATCCTGCCCTTTTAGCTCTGTGAACCTGGGGATGTCCCTTAACCTCTCTCATGCTCAGTTTTCTCATCTGTAAAATGGGGAGGTAATTAGCACCTACCTCTCAGAACTGTTTCGAGGATCAAATGAGAAAATATATGTTTGGTGCTTTGCAAACCTTAAGGAATGGCCCCTATAAGGAGACTTGGGTTTGGATTGCCTGACTGCCCTGTCCTATTTTTGTGACTTTCAACAAGTCACTTCTCTGGGCCTCAATTACCTCAGCCAGAAAATGAGGGAGTTTGACTAGATTTTCTCTCATGTTGCTTCCAGTCCTTAGTTCTATGAACTCCTGGAGTTCTGATTTTGGTCAATTTACTTGTCCCCTCTCAGTTTCAATTTCCTTAGCTTGAGGAATTGGAATAATAATATTTTCCCTATTTCATAAAGATTGTGTGAAGGCCAAGTGAGATGCCATGTAAAGCACTATACACTATACTATGTCTATGCCACTCAGCCAACGAGCATGTGTTAGGCAGCTACTGTATGCCAACCATTGTGCTAAGTGCTGAAGACACAAAGGCAAAAGACAGTCCCTGCTTTCAAGGAACCCACAGATTAATAGGGGAGACCTGTAAATGACTAGGTGCATGCAAGATATCCGCAATGTAAGTGAAAAGTAATTTCAGAGAGAAGGTGTTAGCTGCTGGGGGAGAGGAAAGACCTCTTGTGGAAGGTAGGATTTGAGCTGAGGCTTGAAGGAAGCCAGATTATTATTATATTATAATAATTATTATTATTTACTATTTGTATTATCATTTCATGCTATGCCCACAGCAACCCTTTGAGGTATCATAGAATGTCAGAGCTGGAAGGAATCTGAGAGATCCTCCAGGATAATCTACTCATTTTTTTAGGTAAAGAAGTTGAAGGGCAGACCCAGAGAATTGAAATTATGTTCTTGGTCTGCTGATTTAGGGCAAATATTGGTATTCCCATTTGATACGTAAAGAAGCTGAGGCCCCAGACAACTCAACCAAGCTGACAACAGCTAGAGTGGCAGAGCTGGGACTTTAATCTGGATTTCTGATCCCCCGTCTGGCACCCCTGCCCCAACTATATCATGCTGCAGGGATCACGGATTGAGAGGAAGAGGGAGGAATCCAATAATAATAATAATCATGATGATAATAATAACTATTTGTATAGCTAATAATAATAATTGCTATATGAATAGCACTTTAAGGTTTGCAAAATGTTTTACATGTGTTCTGCCATTTGATTCTCCTAACCATCCTGACGTACAAGGATCAAGGGACCTCAGTTTTGTAGGGTACAGGGACTACACACTGTCTGGCACATTTGTTATTGTAGTACAGTCATTTCAGTCATGTCTGAGTCCTTGTGACCCTATTTTGGGAGTTTTCTTGGCAGAGATACTGGAGTGGTTTCCCATTTCTTTCTCCATCTCATTTTACAGACCAGGAACTGAGACAAACAGGGACAAGTGACTTACCCAAGGTCACATAGCTAGTGAGTGTCTGAGGCCAGATTTGAACTCATGAATATGTCTTCCTGATTCCAAGACCCCTGCTCTATTTGATGTTCCACATATTGTTTGGCACAGTAGTAAATGCTTAATTGATTAAATGACTGATTGATTAGAAGATCCTAAAAAATTAAAAAAAAAAAAAGATCCTAAGGTGCTCTGTAGTAGTGGGGTGGCGGGGTTCTGAGAAGCCAGTATCAGTCTATGTTGAGATGAGCTGGGTTTATCCCCAGGGTGACGATGATGTGTTTGTACATCCCGCCAATTTGCTGGAATTCCTACGCTCCCGACAGGGCGACCCTAGGCTGTCTCAGCTCTTTGTTGGGGACGTGATTCGACGGGCCTGGCCTATTCGCAACCAGCACAGCAAGTATTACATCCCACCCGAGCTCTTCAACCAGCCTTACCCACCCTACGCTGGAGGGGGTGGCATCCTCATGGCAGCCCCACTGGTTCGGCGCCTGCTGCCAGTCTCGGAGTATCTTCCCCTGTTCCCCATAGACGATGTGTTCCTGGGCATGTGCCTGAAGAGGCTTGGAGTCGTGCCTCAGGCTCACCCAGGCTTCCGTACTTTCGGCATTCACCGGACCCGCACCAATCACATGAACTGGGATCCCTGCTTTTACCGGGAACTGCTCATGGTGCACCAGCTGGGGCCCCCTGCCCTCATCAACATGTGGGAGGCTGTGCACAGCAAAAACCTGCACTGTGCCAAGACTGCCAGCTTCCTCTGAGTCTCTTGCCACCCAAAGGGAGTCTCCCTGTCCTATTTTGTCTCTACCTCAGTTCTTTGCAGGTAGAGTGTGACAACCAGTAGAATTACTGACTTAGGTATCAGAGGGCCTGGATTCCAAATCTCCCCTCTGATTTCTCCTAATCCTCTTCTCTGGGCCTGAGTTTCCATACTGACAGAATAAGGGCTTGGACTAGAGTCTAAATCTGGGATCAAGCATCCTTTGATGCTACCCCATTCTCGGGCCAGTTCTGACCCCAACCCTTAAACACCTGAGGCTAGGAGAGACTTGTTTTGTAAAATCGTACTTTGGGGGAGGAAGTGAGTATTTGTCAGCCTACCTCAGCAGGGCTGCTTTCAGGGGCTGGAAAAGGCTGGGGCAGGACTGAAGAGCAGTATAGACCCTTACAATTGGAAGCACCATCGGGTAGCTGAATGAACACTATTTGGAGACTGAGGACCTGGTTTCCGTTTTAGCTCTGCCACATACCTGCTGTGAGACGTTGGGAAAGTCACATCTTTCTGAGCCTCAGTTTCCTAGATACTAAATGGGACAGCAATATTTACTCTGCCTACCTCATAGGAATTGTTGAGAGAATCTGATGAGGTAACTGAGTGAAAAGTGCTTTGTAACCATAGACACACAAAATGGATGATAAAGTTTTTCCTAGGCCCATGCCAAAAGAGCAGGGACTGAGATGCCCAAAACATAATAGAAGGTATCTCTTGAGAGCCTTCTCTTCAAACAGATGGAGGAGACAGCCCCTAAATCAGCTCAGTTTCCTTCTGCTCTAACAGGGGAGATGCTCCAGGTTACTTATGGACAGATAAAAAGTAGGCAGTTTTTCAGCCCCACTAAAGCTGTCCTGTTGGAAGAAAAAGCTTAAAGGTTCACATCCGATGTAGCTAACAGATATTTCCCTCAGGCAAGAACAGGCTATATGTCCAGAGGGGAAGAGAGTTGGAATTCACCAGCACAGTTCCAGTGATGCTGTCAGGAAATGGTGAAAGTTGAGTCTTTGTTTTAGGATAGGCCCAGGATATCAAGGGTTAATCTTCCCCTTCCTTTCAGTTGAAAAATCTAAACCACAGTCAGCCACAATTTCAGGCCTAATCACTGACATGCAATAAATCACTGATCTTATTTGCTTGGAGATGTCACCATGGTGGCAGGGCATGCTGTGGTTTCAAACACACCCACTCATGTGTTGGAAGCAGAGTTCTGGTGGGTATACCACAGGGTTGAAGAGAAAGCAAAAAATATATAAGAATGAATTAAACTTTCCAAAGCCCTCAGCATCCTGCCATTGGACTTTGACGCCTTAGTTGATTGTTTTGTTTTGTTTTTTTCAATTTTGGTTGCTATCTTTTGTTTTTACAACACCCATATTTCTCAATGTATTTCTTCCTCATTTCTTTCCTAGCGATCTGTCCCTTATAACAAAGAATAAAAAAGAGAGAGGGGAAGCAGTTCAACAAAACGCACCAACACATCAACACAGTCATACATTATATAGTCTTATGTGTTTAAAATCCTCCGCCTTTACGAAGTGTTTGCATGGGGTTTTCCATGAAATTGTTGGTGTCTCAGAGTTTGGGCATTGGTTATAGCTCATACATTGACTGACTCAGAGAGGGACCTTAGCTCTAATCCCCTCATTTTACAAATAGGGAAAGCAGGGGCAGCTAGGTGGCACAGTGGATAGAGCACCGGCCCTGGATTCAGGAGGACCTGAGTTCAAATCCGGTCTCAGACACAGAACACTTGTTAGCTGTGTGACCCTGGGCAAGTCACTTAACTCCATTGCCTAGCCAAAAAAATCCCAAAAAACAAAAACCCAAAAAAGAGAAAGTGAAGTCTAGAGAATTTAACAGCCTCCTGTGACTACCCTTTTGCTCGAGAAGAGCGAATGTAAGGTGAACTTATAGCTGTGGCCTTTCCCCGAACCTGAGTCTTGCTAGTACCTCTCTGGCAGTTAGTGATGGAGGCAGGTAATAAACAGCTTTATGGTCTTGAGGCGGAAGGGTCTTTAACATTTTTGTTTGTTCTCTCTTCTCTCTGGGCCTGAGTTACCCCATCTGAAAAAAAAAGGGGGTTAGACTAGATGGTGTCTGAGGTTTCTTTTAACTGCAGTTCTATGATGCTGTGATCTCTATCCCTTACTAATTGTTTGGTTATGGTCAAGTCATCATCTCTGAATCTGAGTTCCCTTTTCTCTAAAATGAGGAAGCTGGCTTTGATGACCTATAAAGCGTTTTCCCGATTCAAGTCTAGAATCTTATAAATAACTTCATCATTCATGTGATTTTAATTCTCTAAGTGGGATGGTTCTTCCCCAGCTGTTCCGTAAAAGTGCCCTGCTCCACAGGAATGGATCCTGGGACTGTCTAAAGGACCGTGTCCCTGACCTGGGCAGTCCCGGCCAAAGAGCGGATGGAGGAGTACTTGCACAATTTTTGAGGCTGTCTTGATGGACTTTGGGGACCCTGTTTCCCCTTCAGTTCCCAAACTGAAACGGAAGCAGAAGAGGTTTCGCATTGGTTTTCATTATACGTTGACTGATAGCTAAAACTTGACGCTAGCAGCAAAGGACCTGGTGAGCCCCCTTCCTTTTGTGGGTGCTATTTTTGAGAACCTAGCAAGTCTGGGCCAAAAAGCCTGAAGAGAAACTTCTTGAACTTCTAGTCATGTAAGGGAGGAAGGAAACCCACATGAGGGACTGAGATGGGTTTGGTCAGATTTTCCCCTTGTAGTTTATGTCACCAATACAGCAAAGCAATATTTGAGATATTGAGAAAAAAAGAGTGTTCCTCTTCTCTTGTGCCTTTTCTACTGGTCTGAAACACTTTTGTAGAGCAAATCAATAGAGACAGCTTTTAAATTAGCCATAAATTGGAATTTAAAAAAGCCATTTTATAATTAGTTCAACTGGCTAGTAATTTTTATAGCTTCTTGGTTTTCTTATGAGACTGTAAATTATGGGAGTAGTAGGTCTTGATTAAATTTAACATTCATTATTTAACATTTACTTTACCTATTTTAAATTTATTGTATATTTATGCATATGTGTGTTTTTCTTGCTGTCCAGTTCTGTCTCTAACAAGGCATCATGATGTGTCTTCTGCAAAACATTGAGGGAGGTCTGGAAGGCCTGGAGTCGGATTTGGCAGGTGCGTTGACGGTGAATGTTGGAAACTAATGGCCACTGCCAGCATACAGTTGTATAGGGGGAAGTGTTGGTTAAGCAGAAGTAGCTGGTCACACCTCACTTGCCAACCATTGGGTCTTCCAAGCATGTGAGGAGATGGCACTTGTGAAAACAATGCCTTCTTCCAAAAAAAATAGACCATCTAAAAATTAAGTTTGGGAAGGTGGGCTCACGGGCATCTTCAGTCACAATGCTGAAGTTTCCATGAATGAATAACAGGATGCTAAGAGACTAAGTGACTTGATTAAGTCCCTGGTATCTCTTCTGAGAATGTAGAAATACTCATGGCACCTCAGACACTGAGGAGAAGACCTTAGAGGCCATCTAGTCTGTGCTGGAACTCCTGCCACAACTAAAAATACCCATCTTCTATAAGAAGCCTTTCCCAGACTCCCTCAGTGCCAATGCTTTTCCTTTATTGATTATCAGAAGTTTATCTTGTCTCCAGGTACTTGCATGCAGTTATTTGCAACTTGTCTCACTGTGAACTCTCCCATAGTAGGGATTATATTTTGCCTTTGTTTGTATTGCTTCTTAGCACAGTGCCTGGCACATAGTAGGTGCTTATTGATAAATGCTTCTGACTTGACTGTATTTCCAATAACCCATTCCGTTCTCAATAGCTCCACTGATTAGTAAGGTTTTCCTTTTAAAAAAATCTAAATTTGGGGTCTTTTCAACTTCGACTCACTGTGCCTCATTCTGCTCTTTGAAGCTGAGGACAAATCTAAATAAACGCAATTCCACAGAACTGCTCTCCACTTCTTATAGATTGCAATTATTTTCATGCCAAGTTTTCTCTTCCCCACGTCCACACATACACACACAAATGTATGTAGACATATTAAACATAAACACATAAACATATTATACAAATATCTAGGTAATAATAGTATAACAATTAAATTATATTAGTCATATAATTTTAATTCATAGTGTAATATTTATATATGACATCTGTATATACTGAAGAGAACATAAGGAAGTTTGAAAAGAAACAGATAAAGACAGCTTTAAAAGTAGTATGTTGAATTTATTACATACTTATTAGAATCAAGCTGTACATAATTTTGTTGTTCAATTGTGTCTGACTCTTCCTGACCCCATTTGTATATAAATACTACATAAATATTATATGTATATATACATACGCATATAGACATACATATTCTTACCACCCTATTAGAATATAAACTTCTCGAGGAATTAGGGAGCTATTTCTTATTTTACATTTGAATCTCCCCAGCACTTAGGATCAACTTCTCAATCTTTCTCATCCACCATCCCCAACCTGTTGCCCAGGCCTAACAATTTGACCTTTGTGACATCTTTCCCAAATGACCCTTCTGACACTGACCCCCCAGTACCCCCTCTTACCACAGGCCCTCATTATCTCCATTCTGGACTTTTTTTTTTAGGCAATTAGGGTTAAGTGACTTGCCCAGGGTCACACAGCTAGTAGTGTCAGAGGCTGGATTTGAACTCAGGTCCTCCTGATTTCAGAGTTGGTGCTCCATCCACTGAGCCACCTAGCTGCCCCTCTACTCTGGACTATCGAAAGAGGCTGCTGGTTGATCTGCCTGTCACAAATATTTTCCTGCTCCAGTCTGTCTTCCATTCATTTTTCAAATGATCGTCCTAAAGCTCAGGTCTGACCCTGTCACCCCCTTCCCCTCACTCACTCAGTTAACTCCTGTGGTGCCCTATTACCTTGAGAATCAAATATAAAATCCTCCATTCAAAGCCATGCATAACCTGTCCCCCACCTTTGATCCAGTGACATTGATCTTTTTGATATTGCTCAAACTAGACACTTCATCTCTAGACACTGGACATTTTCATTGGTTTCCCCATGCCTGGAATGCTCCCTTTCCTCTTTCCCAATCCCTCTTAATTCTAACGACTTTAGTATACAGAGCACCAGGCCTGGAGTCAGGAAGACCTTAGTTCAAATTCTGCCTCAGACACTTCCTAGCTGTGTGACCCTGGGCAAGTCACTTAACTCTGTTTGCCTCAGTTTTCTCACCTGCAGAAAAAAAAAAATGAGCTGGAGAAGGAAATGGCAAATCACTCTAGTCTTTGCTGGAAGCTCTGGATTTTGGCCTTGATGTTTCAAGTTTTCATCTTGAGATTTTTTTCAAAGTGGCTGATGGATTCTTTTTCCACTTTGCCCCCTAGTTGCCAAGAAAACTCCAGATGGGGTCACAAACAGGCTGCGGACCTGCAATTTTTCAGTGCTCCCAAAGTCTTTCTGTTCCCCCCACCCCACCCCCACCCCCACCCTCACCTCAATCTGGGCACTGCAAGTTCCTGACCTGACTCTTTATCCTATTAGTTAGCTGGAAAGCTCTGTTGGTCCAGACTGACAGAACCAGAGGCTCCTTTGGCCTGGGATTCCTGCCTTGGTTAGTCCCCTGTAGACTGGGCTAGATGATAGAGCTGAGATTCCACCATACTCTTGTTATGTAGTGATTACACCACTTCTGCTCGGTCAAGATACTTTGGCTGTTGAGGTTGAACTGACTGGGCAGGCGTTGCCGAGGTCTGAGCCACGCTGCTTTTTGCTTGTGAACTTCCTCCTTTCTAGGCACACCACCTGGGCTCAAGTCTCCTTCTCAGTCAGCTCTGCTATGGTTCTGGGGCCTTCTCTTGCCCTGGTGAATAGCCTGTCCCCCTGGGTGCTTTAGACTCCATGGCAGTGTCCACAGTCCTCCCTCTCTGTGCTGGACTGGGCTGAAGAAATGACTCACTAGGACTTTTTCTGGTTTTTCCCACCAGGATTTGGTTGTGTGTTTTCTAGGTCTTTTGGGGGTAGTTTTGTGGAGGGGAGCTCGGCTCTACCGTGCAACTTTGCCATCTTGGCTCTGCTCCGGGAAAACAACGACTCAAAGTTGTCTGGCTTGTCTGGGGTCCTCCCCCCCCCCCCCCCCCCCCCCAGTCTTCCTTTGGTTCCCTTCTGTGCATTTAAAGAAATACTTTCGTGAATCTTTTATTTTGGCAACCCTATTGCTAGACCACTTTCCCAACTCTTCTCCACCCTCTTGAGAAAAAAAAAAAGAACTTTTGTAACAAATAATAGTCAGGCAAAACAAATCGCC